AAAAAAATGAATATAAAGTAGATAGTTGTAATTTTTAAATCATAACCTTAATGAAAAAAATGTTTTTTAGTAGGTTGTCATTAAAAAAAATATTTTTGTAGAACTTAAAAACAAAAAAATTTTGAAAAAGATTTTGAAAAATGTTATTTTTGAAAAAACATCACATTTTTATATGTATGTCTTATTGGTATAATATTTTGACGTAAACATGTCTAAAATATTCCGGGGAATCAATTGGCTTCAACTGTAAAATTCCTAATAGTTTTGAAGTTATAGTCGGATTTATATTTCTGAAATTTTTGACTTTATCAGAAATTATCTCGATAACTATTTATTGTAGACCACTGATAGAAAATTAAATTTTCTTTCTAATGGTATTGGTAATAGACCGCTTCGAGTACCAAAAATAACCAAAATTTTGTCAAAAATAAAAAAATTCAAAACTTCAAAATTCATCGAAACGCACTTCAAGAGGTTTAAAATTGCATAAAACTTTGTAGAAACACAAAAATTAAAAATTAAAATATAAATTAATAATATAATATACAGGGTGCGCCAGAACTCGCGCCCCAGAGAAAAATGCCGTATAAGGTAAGATACAAGGAACATCGAAAAAATGTTAAAAAAATTTTATCTATAAAAATTTCGAAGTTATGAGGGTTTAAAGTTTGCACTTTGACTCTATTTCTATTGCAAAAATAATTTTCCAAGTTTTTTTGCTATAAGCTATTAAAAGAGGAAACAAAGAAGCTATATCCTAAATTGTAACTCTGTTTTATGTTATTTGTGGCTTTTATTGGCAAAATTTTTGTCCCTTTACTAAATAATTGTAAAACATATACAAGATCATCAGTATCATTAAATGGCATAAAAAATGTCAAATGTCAAAAAATAAATGTCAGAATTTTTTGACAGGTAGAATTTTTTAAACATTTTTTTCGTGTTCCTGGTATCTTACCTTACTTGAAAATTTTCTCTGGGGCAAGAGTTCTGGCGCATCCTGTATGTAAAAAAATACTAAAAAAATTAATATAAAGTGGATAGTTGTAATTTTTACATTATAACCTTAATGAAAAAAATGTTTTTTAGTGGATTGTCATTAAAAAAAATGTAGAACTTAAAAACAAAAGAAGATTTTGAAAAAAAAATTTTTTTGATAAAACATCACATTTTTATATGTCTTATTGGTATAATATTTTGAGTAAACATAGGTAAAATGTTCCGGGAAATCGATTGGCGTCAAGAGAACTGCAAAATTCCTAATAGTTTTGAAGTTATAGTCGGATTTATGTTTTTGATATTTTTGACTTTATCAGAAATTTTCTCATCGTAGAACACTGATAGAAAATTAAATTTTCTTTCCAATTATTTCTTCTGCCAATAATTACCGAGTTATTGGCAATAGACCGCTTCGAGCACCAAAAATCCACCAAAATTTTGTCAAAAATTAACAAATTCCAAACTTCAAAATTGAGCGAAATGCACTTCAAGAGAGTTAAAATTGTATAAAACTTCGTAGAAACATAAATATATTAGACTAGAGCACTAATACATGCTGGGAGTGTGGTGGCGTAGTACCAAAACAGGTTTTTTAAATAGAAAAATTAAAATTTCTCTACAATTTTAGCAAAGTTTTTTTCTTAGATAATATCTTTTAGAAAAATTCTGGTGTATTGTTGGGATATTGTTAAAATTGTTAATAATTTAACTAATTTTTTAAATTAATTTTGTAAAGTTTGATCGTACCTTTCTTAAATATCTTGATATTTTATCCCCATGTTCCCAAGGTATGACCCACCCTCCGGACGCATTACAGTCTAAACCTTTACTCCCATTATTAAAAATCTGTCCTCGTCTCATATTATTCCTAAATATATCTTGCTTCTTCCTTAACAATTTATTGAAAGCTTCAACGAGGACAAAAACCGCATCGTACATAAGAGCAGCTTGGGCAGAGATACTTTCACGCCCACTATTTTGATTTGTAGTAGGATCCAACTTTTTCCAATTATCTAAAAAATCTTTGACATGTTTTCTGGAACCATCAACGATCCGAAATCCGGTTATATTAATCGCGCCGTATTCTATAACCTCGCTTTCCCATCTATCATCCATCACCTGTCAAGAAAATCATTTTCTCCCTAAATAAATCAACTTATTAACTTACCAAACCAGAGAGTAAGTAGTGGTAAGTCCTTTTTCCTAACGCAATGTCTCTTACATGACTAACAACAATTTCCTTCGCCATATCTGCTGAACAATCAAGAACTACGTATTTATGCTCCCATCGAGACTGTTCTTCGAGTCCTCTCAGGAACTGTAAAGCTTCAGTAACATTACTTATTCTTCTCACTGTTGACACTTGGAAACTCTCACTCCCCGGTACTAAACCCTGGTATATCTGTTGTAACCTGAGAAGGCCTAAAACCGGGCATTTCCTCACAAGAACGTAAAAGTTTCCTCGCTTACCGTCATTCGAATCGTAGAGATAAATAATTTTAGGCCAACCATAATATCTAACTGTGTCGATTATGGCTTGGTGATACTCGGGTCGCATTGAGATGGCATAATCCAGGAAACCGGAAGATGGGGCTAAGACTTTTTCCGGAAACCAGGGGGTCACAAAAGGCATTTGGAATGTATTGCTGTAGGAATGTAACGTGTCGAAGGAGTCCGGGGACACGGCCCCCAACATCGAGTAAACACCTCTTTGGAACTGGTTACAGACTAAAAAATCTGGTGTGAACAACACGACTTTCCATATCCTACTTATTTGGACAACATCCTAATAACGACAATATTTTTTTTCAATTTTTTTTTATTCAAGCCAGTGTTTACTTGAAATACTTTGATTCAGGTTGATTCCCGGCTTCAAATTGAGCCAAAACGATTGAGTTTTTATCACAAATTATTTTATTTCAGCCTCAAATTGAGATTGAAGCAATTATTTCCATAAAATACATTAATACTGAATTAATTCTGTATTAAAATCGAGCAAAATTAAATTAAAAATGACTCGAATTGCTTTATTTTTGAAGGAAACTTTTATTTAAGCCATTAGTTTGTTGAAATACTTTGATTCAGATTGATTTTCGGCTTAAAATTGAGCCAAATCGATTCAAAATATCAAAAATTGCATTATTTTAGCCTAAAATTGAGATTGAAAAATTTATTTTTTATTAAATACGTTAATTTAGAATAAATTCTGTACTAAAATTGAGCAAAATAAAATTAAAAATAATTCAAATTGATTTATTTTTAAGAAAACTCTTATTTAAGCCATTAGTTTGTTGAAATACTTTTATTCAGATTGATTTTCGGCTTAAAATTAAGCCAAAACGATTGAATTTTTATCACGAATTATTTTATTTCAGCCTCAAATTGAGACTGAAGCAATTATTTTTATAAAATACATCAATTTTGAATTAATTCTGTATTGAAATCGAGCAAAATTAAATTAAAAATAACTCAAATTGCTTTATTTTTGAAGAAAATTTTTATTTAAGCCATTAGTTTGTTGAAATACTTTGATTCAGATTGATTTTAGGCTTAAAATTGAGCCAAATCGATTCAAAATATCGCAAATTGCTTTATTTTAGCCTAAAATTGAGATTGAAGAAATTATTTTTATTAAATA